GAGATATTAGACCCATTAGCCTTATTAATACACATATGAGCCCATTGGACCACCTAAACCCATCAAATGGATTTCTAATCAGTTTCGCAAACCGATCATGGCCAGAGCACAATATCCATCAATCTCCCACTTGCTCTACTCATGATCGAGTTTCAGTCTATCACAATAGACCTTCCCAAGCACGCTCCAGAAAATAGTAATATCCCTACGTGTGTGACCCTGTAGGCCCGTCCAACGCAGACATAGTTCCGAAACTATTTCGGACTAATAATCATAGGTGGTCCCTAGCAAGACACTATGACTCCCTTGTTACACTAGGTTAGTGTGATCTAACGAGCCAAGTAACATTCAACACTTGTGTTCTTTTTGTCACATGATATCATAAGTCAAAACAGAGACATGGAACAAGTCATCTCGTCATATTTTGACTGTTTTCTCGTTCGTTGAGTTAACTGAACCTACAGATGACTATTCATCTATTTGCGCGCATTTCAGCTTAACTCACTCGAGGGCTCAGCGATACCTCTCTCTTCACATAAGAGAGGGACAAAATTCCATTTTGGCTCTCTACTACCCTCCACATGATTCATGACATTCCCAACTACAGCCGTTATAGTCGTCCTTTTACAGTTCCGACGTTTGACTGTGTCAAAGAATATCACTCCTGATGTCGGATACATATAGAGACCTTAGGTGTTAGGACTCAAAACGGAGTATTACATGAGATTCAAGTCATGACATCAAGTCCATGTGACAATCTCATGCGGGTCATCCATTATTCATTCACAAATGAACACCCATGATCATGATCTGTATCACATATGCTGTAATCATCTCTATGATCATCCAACATGCATCATGCTAGTCTTTATTCGTTAATGTTCCCATATTAACGATCGACTAGGGAATTTAGTATTATTACGATAATAATACATGGATAACATTATCAAACAATAACATGCAATTTGAATAATAATCAATAAGAAAAACATACTTCCATTCATCACAATGAATCCAAGTACAATAAATAAAGTGTTCGTGCGAATGATCATGTCCAGAGCATGAAACATCACAATCTCCAAATGCTTTAATCATAATCAACTAAATGTCTAATCCCCATCGACCTAACATGACATGACACTCATGCTTCGACAAAGGAAAGAGGCTTCGTCAATGGGTCAACGATGTTGTCATTTGTCGAAACTCAGCATATAATCACATTGATCACATGGGTTTTCCAACCGATTTTCTAACGTCATTAATCCCATCTCATTACATATTTTGGGTATATTAGGACGTTAGATTGCCATGGGTAGGAATCTTCCTCTCTTTTTCCTTGCAGGACAATCAGACGAGGATCTTCGCGTACGAGGCACGGAAAAGGATCGGAACCGAGAAGCCCGGAGAAGCTCAGAGAAATCGAGCGAGCCGCTCGTTATTCCGAGTGGTCGCTCGATGTGACAAACAGGCTTCGAGCGGTCGCCCACGGAACTAGGCGGTCGCCTCACGCAACATCCGAGAGCGAGCGATTGCTCGCTAAAGTGGGCGGTCGCTCATCATGAAGAAAATGAGCGACCGTGAAGAGAAAATGAGCGACATTGAAGAAAAAGTGAGAGACCGTCCGAAATCAAAACCGGCCCAAAAAGGAAAAGCCCGAATTTTGAGGAAAAACCTAGTTTTTACACTTTCATAAAAAGGGGAGTTTGAGGAGAGAGAAAGGGGGCTCGACACTGTTGGAGAAAATCACCTTGGAGAAGAGTTCTAGAGAGATTTGGAGATCAAGAGAAGCATTTTGGAGGAGAAGACACCATTGAAGACTATTTTGAGCATCTGTTCTCCTTTTCTATGTTTCTCTATTTTGCTTTCAGTTTTGAAACCCTAGATATGGAGTAGTGACTTTGTTGTGGGTGAGGGATCCCCACTTTTGTATGGATACCTATACTTAACCTATGATGTTTATGAGTTTTCGTTCATCGGTTTGATGTTTTATGCTTAATGCTATTGACTTGGATGAAACCCTAGTTGATAAGATGATAGAACAAATTGATCATAGGGATATGGGGATGTTTTTTGGAACCAAACATCAAATGACTGAGTTATTCACATTGGGAGATGACTTAACTTGCTTAGGGTTCATGATAGGGAACATTAATGCATTTAGAGATTATTTAGGCTATTGGGAGATGGATAAATCAATTCTCTAGGTAGTGAGTTTAAGCTCGGGAGAGACAAACTCTAGATGAAGTGCTTGAAACCCCCATTTGGAAGATAAACCCCTAGACATTGTAGCATCATCAACCATCCATGCGATTCATGAGGGATCCCGAACCTACAACGCCTTAAATCATTGTTTGCAAACTCGTCGATTTTATTGCTTTCTTTCATTCCGACATACACCCTCACCTACATTTTTATTTGATCATCAATCTAGCTTAGGGATAGACTAATACAACCTAGTCCTTCGATCCCGGTACTACAACTGCCGTATACTTGCGGATAGTGGTACGAATCGGGTACTAAATATAAGACTCAGTGCGTGCGCATCAAGTTTTTGGCGCCGCTGCCGGGGACTAGGCGTTTTCGTGTTAGTCTAGATTTTTGCTAGATCACCATTGCTTGGATTCTTGCTTGGATTGTTTTGCGGCATAACCTTTTCGCATCACTTTCGGTTTATTTCGTTTCTTTGGTGCGCAGTTCTTCTGGTGCATGACAAGAAGCACAACCGGTAGAGATCAACTCTCTTCGACCCCGAAATAGAAAGAACTCTACGCTTCGCTCGGAAACAACAAAGACAGTGGGGAATGGCCGAAGAAATGCTGAGAGGTAACAACGCGCGAAGAGATCAACCCGAAATGGCCGAAGAGTTGTTGAGAGGGGCCAATGCCCAAAGAGGCCCAGCCCAAGCAGCCCCTAGAACGCTTCGAACATACACACAACCGAAGCATACTCAGTTACTATCATGCATCAACAAGGAGCCGTTGGAAGATTTTGAACTCCAACCGCAATGCATTCAAATGCTCAACAACATGAGTTTCCGTGGATGACCCAACGAAGATCCAAACGCTCACCTTACAAACTTCAAGATGAATTGTAAGGCAATCAAGAAGGGACCGCGGATGACTACGGAAGATGTGCTCCTTGAAGCTTTTCCATACTCACTTATAGAGAGAGCTAGAGATTGGCTTTACACTCTTGAGCCAAATTCCATCTCGACATGGGATGAGATGGAAGAGCAGTTCCTCATGCAATATTACTCCCCTACCAAGACTCAACATGCTAGGAATCGGATCAATGCCTTTGTGCAAGAGGATGGGGAGAATCTCAACGATGCATGGGAACGCTTCAAAGAATATCAAAGAATGTGCCCTCACCATGGAATGGAAAGAGACTACCTTCTATCCATCGTCATCCATGGGTTGAAGGATGACACTCGGTCTTGGATTGATGCAGCATGTGGAGGCGACATTTACGACATCCCTTTCCAAGAGCTAGAAGCAACAATTGCGAAACTGGCCAAAGGACGCAGCCACACGTCCAACGAGTTCAGTAGGAGAAGCTCAGTGAAAGGTGATGTGGGAGAGAACGCAGCTCTTAAGTCGGTGTTGTCCGACCTTGCTGAGATAAAGATTCAACTCGCCAACGCCAAGCAAGTAGCCGCAGTGGAAGACCATAATTTAGCACAAGTTCAACCGGGAATGTACATGGTTGATCAAGAAGCAGAAGAAGTCAACTATGTCGGCCCAAATCAATATACTCATCCTTCCAACCTGTACAACCCCGGATTGAGGAACCATCCCAACTTCTCCTACAAGAACACATCAAATGTGCTAAATCCTCAACCTGCTTTCCAACGGAACAACCAAGGACCCCCGGGTTTTCAACCGAAGTACCAACAACCAGGTCAAGGGAGCCAAGGTTACCGAGGAAATTCCAACTACAGACCACTACAAGCACAACCCAAGGAGCAAGACCCGGACATCAAGGATATGCTTATGCAAATCCTCCAAGGTCAAAAATCGCAAGGAGTGTCCATTAGTAGCATTGAGAATGAGCAAGTTGCGTTCAAGAAACAATTGGAAGGAGTGCAAGCTCACATGAAGATTTTGGATAACCAAGTAGCGCAACTTGCATCATCCTCATCAACGAGATAGCAAGGCATGCTTTCCGGTAAGAACGAGATGAACCCTCGGGAACACATTAATGCCGTGGAGCTAAGGAGTGGAAAACAACTTCCGGAGATTACTCCTCCGATGGTTGAGAAAACACCACCTCCAAGACTAACGAGGGAAGAAAAAGGCAAGGCTGTAGAGGAAGACACTCCCAAGGTGCACGAGCAGGAGAAAGAACCGGTATACATTATGGATGGCAAAGTAGGTTACCCAATCCATTCAAACCCAATCCATATGGATTGAATAAATTAATGGATTGGGCTGAACCCATCAAATAAAATAGTTTAATAGGTTGGGCTGAACCCATCAAACCTATATTGCCCCAATTAAACCTATTTATTTTATTTAGTTAAAAAATTATCTTAGTTGATGTTCTAATACATGAGCGAAACTCTTTGGTGACATATTTTAACGCAATTAAATTATAAATCCTGATCTATCAAATTCTGAATTCCAACCATTCAGATTTGAAATTCGATTTCAAATTTATTTTCGAATCTCAAAATTCAAATTTATTTTTAATTATTCATTTGTGATCTTCATCCAAATTAAAATTCTAAATTTAAATATTCATTAGTACATTGAAATGGGTGTTCTTGTTCAATCCGTTAATTCAAATCAATCTAGTTTAAAATTAGATTTTTATCTGATTTTTTTTATTCAAAATCAAATACAAATCAAAATATATCTAGTAATTGATTCTACCAAAAATATAATCACAGAATCTTAATAATCCATCAATTGATTTAAACTAAAAAAATGTTAATTTAATCTAAAACTATCCTACATACATATTTGTCCAATCATCATCATCCGCATCAATCCTCTCATCTTGTCCACCATCATAATCATCAACGATATTAATGTGATCGTCGTCATCATCGTCACCTTCTCCACCTGTCATTTACATAAAAAAAACTTATAAACCAACTATAGTTGAAATAAAAATATACAATGCAATTTACCTCTTACCATTTACACCCACTTCGTAGCCAATCAACCAGTTTCGCGTACAAATAAGCGCTTCAATATCAGAAGAACAAAGACGACTTCTATATTTGTTCATCAAACGAGTGCCAATGCTAAATGAAAATTCAGACACCACTGTTGTGATTGGAATACTGAGTATATCGCAAGCCATCTGAGCCAAACTACCGTATCGTTGTTTATGATTTTTCCAAAATTGTAACACGTCGATGTCGTCATACTCATTCATTTCTAACCTTTTGTCCTCTAAATATATTTCCAAAACATATCACCCCTCTTGAGCAACAACCCTTTTTTCATATGCTTTAAAAGCCTATACCACACCACAGAGAAGTTAAACAACATTATAAAATATTAAAACAAAGGCACATAGATTATAAGATTAAACGAAGCTTACATTTAGAGCAGTCAAACGTGTTCCTCTTCCTTTTGCGAAACACCAACTTGGACTTGTAGTTCCACATGAACAACTTGGAGATACTGATTTGTTCTTGTATTGATTAAAGAGAAACACCAAATTTTTTTTCACAAGATCAATTTTTTCCTTGGAAGTGCTCGGATCAATCTCACTGTAAGCAAACTCCAATAATTCCAACTTCATTCTAGGGTCCAAAACAGCTCCTAACGCAAGGGTCACACTATACTCCTCCCAATACTTATCGAACTTTCCCTTCATATTGTTGGCCATAGATTGAATCATTTGATCTTCTTCGTTTTTCATGTAGTCCTTCAGCAAACACTCTATTCTCCATACTTGAAAGAAATATAAATTGGAAGTAGGATATTTAGACCCAGAAAACAAGTTGGTGATCTCATAGAATGGCTCCAAAAACTCACAAATCTTTATTCCTCTTTGCCACTCTTGAGTTGATGGATTATACTTATAGTTTCGATCAAGCAATTGCAGACTATTAAATGCACGTTCATACTTAATAGCAATCTTGAGCATCATATAAGTCGAGTTCCATCTGGTAGAAACATCTAAAAGCAAACCTGTCCCGCTATCAACGCCAACTTGCTCACAACAGTCCTTAAACATATTCATCTTTCCTCCTGACCACTTAACATACTTCACACTTTCCCTGATCTTATACAAGGCAGAATCAACCACTTTTAATCCTTCTTCCACAATAAGATTTAAAATATGTGCACAACATCGAACATGAAAAAATTTTCCATCACATAATAATCCATTTTGTAGACAAAGCTGGTCCTTCAATATACTCTGCATAGTATCGTTAGCTGAGGCATTATCAAGCGTGAGCGAAAATATTTTTTTTCTATCCCCCAATCTTTCAAACAATCGAGAACTTTCTTCGCCAACTCATTTCCAGAATGCGGAGGAGGCATGGCACTAAAAGATAGTATCTTACTATTTAATCTCCAGCTATCATCAACATAATGCGCAGTAAGACATATATATCCTTCAATAGCTATAGACCTCCAAACATCAGCCGTCAAACAAATTCTATTAGGGATAGAAGCTATCTCCATTTTCAGTTTCTCTTTATGATCTTGATGCAATCTATGGACCTCAGCAACAATGGTATTCCTAGAAATTGGTTTGAAATCCGGATTCATGTATTTGAGCAATTGTCTAACTCTCTTATACTCCACAAAAGAAAATGGGAGATCATGCTCTATGACTGCCATGGCTACGAACTTATGAACCATCATACCATCAATTTTTTTGCGATTATCATTCCGTCTTGAGCAAGTATCTCTGTCATTTCAGAAAATTTACTAGGATAGATGTCCCGTGTCTTCTAACATTATCAGGATAATCCTTTCTACAATATTTGCAGACAATCTTATCCCCAACTATTGAAAAATGATTCCACACACTTGAAGTGCGTAAAATGTTTCTTAGTACTTACTTGATCAAGTGTTGCTAAAGACTGACTTGGTAATGACGATCCATCATTGGCACTTTCTCCTCCCGATGCAAAAGTATCCGACAATACTAACTCAGACATATCGCTGCAACAATCATTTTAACATAGCATATCGCTGCAAGAATCATTTTAACATAGCATTGTAAGAATCAAACCACAACATTAATTTATCAAAAGTATCTCATAAATTTGTACAAACCAATCTAAGAACATATCTAAGATATGGTTTGGAGTTTACAAATCTGATGGAAATTGAGTTGAATAAAATGATATAAAATTGCACATTCAAGTGTGACAGATAATAAGTTTGCAAAGAACGAAAACCAAGATAGCAATTCAAGATTTAAATAAATCACACATTTATTTCACACGTCTTTGTCTACACGTGCAGAGAAGATTACACTTCATTTATATGATAAAGCTCATATTTAGGATTATCAATGCTTTCCAATTAAAAAAAAAAGACATCCATAATTTTTACGCTAATCAATCACAGCTAATTCAAACAATGGATTCTAAAATCATCGAATTGAACACGACAGACTCGTATAATCGAATCATAAAATATGACATATGTTTATTTATGATTCTAACTAAACCCAGATTTAAACTCGATGATTTATACTTACCCGATGATTTATACTTGGTGATAAGGAACCCAATGATTTTCTCTACAAATTTATATTTGGAGATTCAGAGTCTGATGATTTTCTGAGGCAAACGATTAGGGTTTTCAGAGAAAGTTTGGATTTATCGATGATTAAAAGGAAGAAAAAGATGAACGATCAATAATCAGAACGAAAGAGAGATGAGAGAAATAATCAGAACGATGAGAGATTCGTAGTTAGGGTTCATAAGGAGAGAGAAATATGAGCGATGAGAGGCAGAAGAGACATCTGCAAAAAATTAGGGCGAAGAACAAAAGAGGAACACATTTAATTTTGTAAATAATTGGGTCAATTGGGTGAGCCCATTAAACCCATGGGTTTAATGGGTTTAAACCCATCTAACCCATTAAAAATTTTAAACCAAAAGACGTAACCTAAATGTAGTAATTGATGGGTTGGGTTGGGTTAACCCATATAACCCAACCCAACTTGACATTACTAGTATACATTCCTCCTCCGTCTAAGGTACCTCCGATACCCTTTCCTTCTCGTTTAAAGAAATTTAATGAAGACAACAAATTTGGGAAGTTTGCGGAAATGCTGAAGAAGATGGAGATTACAATGCCTTTCTATGAGGTAATTCTCCAAATGCCCTCGTATGCGAAGTTCCTCAAGGATATTTTGACAAAGAAGCGGGTAGTCGAAAAAGAGACTATAGCATTGAGCAGCGAGATTAGTGCAGCCATCACCAAGCACGAACATCCCCCGAAGATGTCTGATCTGGGAAGTTTCTCTATTCCATGCAAACTGGGGAATATCGAGATTGATAGAGCATTATGTGATCTCGGAGCTAGTGTAAGCTTGATGCCACTATCCATTTACAAGAAGTTGAACATAGGTGACTTGAAACCCACGAGGATGGCCTTACAACTAGCGGACCGCTCTATCAAGTATCCAGCAGGTGGTAGAAACATCTAAAAGCAAACCTGTCCCGCTATCAGTGCTGGACATGGATGAGGATTCCAAAGTCCCAATCATTTTAGGCCGATCATTTTTTAGTACAGCGGATGCCGTAGTTCACGTCCGGGCTGGTAGATTAACGATGAAGATCGGGGATGATACAGTCGAATTCACACTTGATCAAAATTTGAAGCAACCCTCGACCAATGATACTGATGAGGACATAGAGACCAGACGCACAGACAAAGAGTTTGAACGCACGGAACGGGAGCAAGATAGCTTGGAGTGCACGGAGCGAGAGCGGGATAGCTTGGAACGCAAGGAGCTGCCTAATGCCGAGCATATCTTCAATAGTGATGGGGAACTTCTAGTTGAGCCAAGGCCAAGGCATACACGCCCAAACCACAGACCCGATCCACCCCTTACTCGAGCCAAGGCGCTTGCCCTTCGCGAACGCATCACCTTGTTCGTCTCCGACATGCTGGACGAACTTCGTTCCAAGGACATGAGCCCAGTCCGTCTTGGAGCAGCCCACGCACGTCACTTATTGAAGATTTCGTTCCATGATATTGCTGAAGAAACACATTAGAATTATGTCATTATCCAACAGCTATATTGTGTACTTAAGAGAGCATTAATTACCTAGCTTGCATGCTTATCTAGCTTTGAATGCTAAGGGCTGTTGGAAATGTTTGAGATTGCTATTTATCCTTGTAAGTTTTCAGAACTCATTACCTAAGAAATCTATTGCCATTTTCGAGCTTAAGCTTGCTATGTTTGTTGAGTTTGAATCTCCAAACCGTTATCCCCATTGGTGTGTCCGACGAAGGGCTTCGGTGTGTCCGAGCCAGCTTTCGTTTGTCCGAAAACCTTTCCTCCTTATCTCCATCTCATCCACTGAATCTTAGCTTGAATTCGAGTGCCTCACAAGGCTGGTGATTGAGCTAACATTCCCATCCCCCTCCATCCAACATCCTTAGCCGAAACACGGGAGTTCGAGTGCCAATACTTGTGCCGGTGATTGCGTTGTTCGGGCCAACCTATATCCACGAGTTCGGGGCTTACATCATTTTGGTATCAGAGCTTCAACTATCCACAGGACGTCGCAGCTTCCCCTCGGTGATATCTTTCCATCTCTATACGTTTTCATCTCATATTGTTCGGAAAAATATGTTTCGGTGTGTGCAGAATTCTGTTTGTGTTTGAGTGGGCTATTGATTGCGTTTTGAAACGAATCTGATCTTCATTTGATCGCAATCCAATCATCTATCCATCTACATACTGTGCAAACCGAAATCATCTCACCTTCAGATCGAAATTCAACTCAAAAGTGGCTGTTCAACTCCCTATAATCTGATTGTGTTGTTCATTGTGCCTTTTCGGTTTAGAAATCGTAGTTGGCATCATTTGGTATAATCATCATCTTGCTCTATTTTGCATCGCGTTTGAGTTCTGTTTTAAGGGAATATAGATTGATTGATAGTGTTGTGTATTGCACGTTTGAGTGTTGCTTGGAATCACATTTAGAACTGGTTGTTGCACGTCAATTGTTGCTCAAACTCGCACGTCGTTTGTAAATCTAAATCGCACGTTCTTTCTTGTGGTAAGGGAGCGATGAGTGTAAACAATGTGTCTAATGATGGTGCCGAGGTCGGATCTAGCCAAAATGATATCTTCCGAGCCCTTAAACAGATTATGGATAGGCTAGACAAGATAGAGGAGTCGAGGCCTCAAGTGAGACCGGGTAAGGAAATAGATGCACGAGAACATATTGGCCCCTCAAGGCAAAGGCGGTCTATTGTTCCGGATCCCATAGTGAATCCCGAGAGTGAATATGAGTCACGACCCCGACCTAGAGCGAGGGAATATGTTGATGTGTCGGAACGAGAGGAACCCCCTAGGCGTAGAGCCCCTAGAGCAAGAGCTAGAGTACATGAATATGAATCGGATTATGACGAGCCGCAAAGGCTTAGAGCCCCTAGGCCGAGAGGTAGATTAGAGGATGAGTGTTCAGACCAGGATGAACCACCCATGAGACGGACCTTACCAAGGGCTAGGGTTAGGGAAAACCGTAGGAACAATGACACCGAATTAGATGAACCAAACCGAGACCAACCTCGTGGCCATTATGGGCAAACGGAGCTCAAGCTTAAACCTTCCCTTTTCTTACGAAAGGTAGACCCCGAGGCATATCTAGATTGGGAGCGACGGATGGATAACATTTACGACTGTTATTCCTATTCAGAGCGTAGGAAGGTGCAATATGCTGCCGCCCAATTAGCCGAGCATGCCTTGGCCTGGTGGGATCGTGAGGTAACCGAGCGGAGACGTGGACATTATGCTCAGGTTGAGACGTGGCGTGAGATGAAGAATCTCATGCGTAAACGTTATGTCCCTCCGCACTTCCATCGAGACCTTCAAAGAAGGTATCGGCGTCTAGCGCAAGGTACAAGGTCGGTAGAAGAATTCTTCGAAGAGTTCAAACACATTAGGAGCCGACTAGAGCTAGACGAGGACGAGGAAACGGTGATGGCCCAGTTCTTAGATGGACTGCAGGATAAGATTGCTCGAAAAGTTGAGCGACAATCATACCATGACCTCCAAGAGCTCTTACATTTAGCTGTGCAAGTCGAACAACAAGAAAAGCGTAAGAACGCTAGGCTAAGTAGGACGAAAACATACTCTAGTGGAACTACAGCAAACACTAAACCTCCCACACCCTTTCGACGAGAGAACCATGAGAATAGAACCCCGCAAGACATACGGGACAAAGGAAAATCCCTGGAAACATCCCGAACTAAACCAAACATCGAGGCACCTCAAGACACTAGAGCTAGGGAGATTATTTGCTATAAGTGTCGAGGGCGAGGTCACATGGCTCGCGATTGTCCGAATGCTAGGGTCATGATCATTGGACAAAGGGGAATACGAATCCATGGACGAAGAAGAGGCCGAAGATCTCGAGGAAGAGATCGAATATCCGGATAGCGGCGAATTGCTCATCACTAGGAGAGTGCTTAGCACTATGGTCAACCCGGATGAAACGGCCCAGCGGGAGACTATTTTCCACACCCGTTGTACCTTTCAAGGGAAAGTGTGCGGTATGATAATCGATAGTGGGTCATGCACA